TCATCACGGGTGTAGAAAAAATTCTTCCCCAGATAGTCAAGTACCAAGCGTGCCCATAAGAACATCCCTAGAATGACGGTCAGTCTGGTAAATGACAGCTGAAAGACGTTGATCACAAGTACATACCGGCAGCCCTGGTTCCGATGTCCTGGCCAAACCTTTCCACATCGGCTTCCGTAATTCCGAGCTGGGTGAGCTTTCCCGGCATGTCCCTCAGCCTCTGTAGCGCATAATTGGTGATGGCACCCCTCAAATTCACCCTCTCGTCGGTGAGGGATATAACCTTGAGTGCTTTCTTCTTCAGCAGGGTTTCAAGCAAATGCGTGCTTCTGCTTGACAACAGTGCTTTGCAACCTGAGCCCATAGATACAAGTCGACCTACCAGGCTGGTTAGGCGTCTCTGTGTTCCCTCTTGGCACTCGTCCAGACCATCAAGCACGATGTGAACTGCTTGTGCTTTGCCGCCTCCTACATTTCCACCAATAAACTCGACAGACATCCCAAGAAGTCTTTCTAAAAGGGAAACGGTGACAGACTTTTCCCCAATATATTGTTCATGGATATGAGCAATCAAGTCGCTGTTTGTCTGCATGCATTGTAGCAGCCAACACTTGAGAATCTGGTCGTACTGCGTGGATAGATAGTGCGAAGACGAAGAGAAGTGGCGTATTACTATGGAACCTCTCGAAGCTGTGAGGAATTTGACCAGATGTGCTGCTATGACACTCTTGCCACTTCCAGGGTTGCCTTGGAGCCATATGAATGGAGATGCTCAACTTCTGCAAAGACTTGCCCGAAACACCACAGCCAGATGCAATTCTAACCCCTCTGGAGAGGTATGTCCCCCAAATCCAGACATCAACACACCATATCTTAACTCGTACCTTCATCAGACATCAAAAGCAAGCCTTGACATTTATGATGCAACGAGAACGGGGATGGGACTACGAAGCTGCCTCCATGGACTACTGGGACTATGTAGAAAGCACTCAGGCTTCTTTGTAAGACATCTCATCTCGGGAATATCACTCTCTGGCATCGTCTCCTAACACTGTGGTACAGCTTTGTGAACAGAATATCAGGGGCATATCAAGAACATGAGCCCACCCAGTTTCGTGGCGGGGTCGTTGGAGACCCCATGGGACTCGGTAAAAGCCTGAGCATGATTGCCTTGGTGGCGATGGATGCAAAGGGAGAGCGGAGTCGTCGTGTTAGCCAAGGAGACGGCAATGTGGCCGAGCCTGCAACGATGCCCTCCTTGGTCATTGTTCCACCACCCCGTAAGATCCATCCACTTCACCTAATCTATGTAATGGGTGCTCTCTAATAATATATTGTACTAATCTCAAATACAGTCTTGGACTCCTGGGAGGAGCAGCTCTCCCAGTAAGCACTCATAGTTCACCCCTTTGCCCAGGTTGATTCCGAAATTTCGCCCCACGAACATGAAGCTGACCGTGCCATACCTCACGCAAAGACATGTGAAAAAGGGACACATGACGTGGCGCCGACATTATGACAAGCAGAAACTTACTGAGCTCGATAATCTATCTGAAATAGATATCGTCCTCACCACATATCACACTTTAACGGCCGAGACAGGAGCCCGAAGCTCCTCTACAAACAAATCAATAATGTTTTCAACATGTTGGAAACGAATCATTCTCGACGAAGGTATGATCAATCTTGCTTGTGGAGCTTATAGTGCTAATATGATATATAGCTCATGTCATTCGGAATCCTGCGTCTCAAATGGCAAGGGCCATGTGTGCTCTGGAAGGCCACTCAAGATGGGCAGTGACCGGCACACCAATACAAAACCGCATTGGCGATCTGGCTGCATTGCTCAAGTTTCTTCGCGTTCATCCGTACGATGATCCGAAGCGCTTTGACACTGACATTGCCAAGTTGTGGAAGTCGGGTGACATAGACGAAGCTGTGAGGAGACTGAAGCAGCTATCTGGCTGCCTCCTTCTCCGGAGACCCAAGACTGTCATCAGCTTGCCCACTCGCAAGGACTTGCGATTTCCTGTTGAATTTAACCTTGCCGAAAGAGAGTTCTATGACAATCTCAAGAACCAAGCACTCGCTCACATCGACGAGGCCTGTTACGGAGAGACTCAAGCCTACGGGCTGAGCTCATACATCAACGTCATTCAGAAGATAAATGCGCTGAGGATGATCTGCAACATCGGTCTTCACTATGACTCTCGCCACAGTCTTTCTGTTACTGAGAGACCCAACAAGAGAGAGTACGACTGGAGCACAGTTGCACAGGAAACATTCAACCTCCAGAGAGAAATGGACGGCCTTGTCTGCTCTGGATGCCAATCTCCATGTGACATAACAACCACCACAACTGACGAATCTGAATCACAGTTACGCCCACAATTCACCCAGTGCTTGGTTTTCACATGCACCAGTTGCGTCCAGCGAGCAACTCACGCGGATAAACCTCTTATGTGCGGCCACAGTCCAGCGCACCCAGCCGCATCCGTTTCCCTTACCACGGAAGAAGCCACTGGGGCAGCAATTACCGCCAAGAATATAATAATGTCAAGCAAGGTATCTGCGCTTGTGATGCAGCTATCGGCGCTGCCTTCGGATGTCAAGTGGTAAGACATCATCCTCTCAGTCCCAGCAATTCACCCTCAGCTAAAACTCTCCTAGCATTGTCTTTTCCAGCTGGCGGACGACGCTTGATCTTGTCCAGGTTGGACTTGACAAGGCATCGATTTTGAATGTCAGATTTGACGGCAAGGTCCCCCAGAAACAACGAAAGTCTGTCATCGACAAGTTCAAGAGGGATCCGACTGTCCGAGTCCTGTTGTTGACTTTGTCGTGCGGGGCTGTTGGGTGAGTATTGCTCCTTCAACAGGACAGGCCTATGCCATGCGGAAACTAACACATATGACGTACTGTAGCTTGACGTTGACAGAGGCGTCACGGGCATATCTGATGGAGCCTCACTGGTGTGTACCTACTCTATCGGGACCACTCATCCATACAAAATCTCACGCTTGTAATTGCAGGAACCCCACCATCGAAGAGCAGGCGTTGGCACGTATTCATCGGCTTGGGCAGAAAAAGGAGGTTACGACAGTTCGATTCTATGTGAAGGATACATTTGAAGAGGTGAGCTTTACTCTTAGATTCACATGCGGGAGATTCAACTTGGCTAACAATACCACTGCAAATAGCGGGTCCTGGAACTTCAAGAGTCTAAGAAACAGCTTGAGGAGGTCTTGTTGGAACACAACGGCAAACAGCAGACGGATTCTCGCCTTGAACGTCTTGAGGTATTTGCCACTCATACATGTGATTCGAGGTTGAGTGGAGGCTTTTGGATTACCCATGCTGACTGTCGTATAATTCACAGGGACTTCGACGACTGGTCTAGTACAAGGCACGAAAATGGGACAAGAGGAGTAAAAGAAGGAATATCACGAAGAGTTAAATGCATTTACGGAACAGATTATGTGAGGTATAGTTATTTTATTTGTTGACTTACCTAGTAGTAAGTAATTGTTAGTCAGACAAAGAGTATAATACAGACGTACCAGTTACCATTAGATAAAACCATAGACATCAGTGAAGAATCAGTTAGTTAGTTCAGAATTCAGAGTTTCCTGCGGAACCTGAAGCCTCCCAACATCGACTCACTCAGCAGCTTTATCCAGAGTTACCCTATTCTCAGGCCTATAAGGTATATAGTCAGTAGTAGGGCGCCCATCAGAGGTAGCAGGTCTATCCTCAGCAGGGGAGTTTAGCCAAGTCGCCACCCTGTAATTAATAGGTCTATGGGGCCTAGGAGACTGAACCTCCACCATCCCCTTTTGAGCCGCAAAAGAGGCAGGGGCGGTAACAGGCCAGTCAGCATCCGCAGCAGCACCAGAAGACCGAGAAGAACTCCGACGACCAGAGACACTAGAAGCTACCTTTTTCGCAGCCCTAGAGAGAAGACTACCACCTTTCTTACCAGCCACAGCCTCAAGAGATAGAGCATTACCATTATCGTCTTGGGCAGTGATAGTAGGAGCAGGAGCAGGAGCAGGAGCAGGAGCAGGTGCAGGTGCAGGGGCACCGACACGTCTCAGAGAACCATACCGAGAGCCAGGCTTAGACACCCATAAAGAGCCATCAGAGTCCCGGTAGGTATAAGTCTCATCATCCGCATCGTAGCCTACACAAGTCATACCATGAGGCAGACGCTCAGCGTCATAATCCCACCGTTGCTGGCTTCGGGTAGTCATCTTGGTTGAATGACTAATAAAGTTAGTAAGGTAGGGTAGTGTTGTGTGGTTGATGTTCCGAGGCTCACCAGAGGTTGTGATCCGGAGTTAATGTTCTCAGATCTGGTGTGGTGAGTTGGTGAGTGTCTGATGAGAATTCACTTTGGCTGCGGCGAGGATGTTCCCTTTAATACGTTTTGGACGCCCTCGCGTCACAAACATTCGGCTAATAACAATGTTGTTGTTTCAAGAAACACGTACTGATCAGTTGATGAGTTGTTCAGAAATAACATACACATATGCTGCCAATAGCCATTTGATGCTAGCAAACTCAATACCGGAAGTGACCCCTTTGTTGGGAAGACTTGGAGTTGGCCAGTTGTGTGTTCTAAACTTACTTGAACTGTTCTAGCCTTCTACAATGGTATTGTTTTGTTGCTTTTGTGCTATGTTTATCACAAAGGGCTACACAGATGCAGAACCTGGATCTGTTAAAACAATTCGAGTCTAGCTCATGGAAGCCAGACAAAAAGAAACTGACTGGGGAGTTGGCAAACTCCTAAACGGACTGCTAAAGAGGGCAGAATGTTGGTCAAACATAGTTGTCGGTTTCGGTGCCAATAGTTTACTACTAGTGTATCTATAAACTTTATATCGCCATTTAATGCATATTATCAATAAATGGTAATTCGGTGCACCAAGTTAGAAACACAAAAAAACGCGACGAAGAATCTTATAAGCGAAGCAATAAAAAAGTAAAAAAGACCGGGGCTTTGTCGGGGATCGAACCCGAGACCTCGCACAAGCACTGTTTCACAGTGTGGGAATTACCCGAAGCGCGAATCATACCACTAGACCACAAAGCCATATCTCGCGACTGCACGTCACCTGAAAGTGATGTGGCTGGTGCTGGGATCATCCCAAGAACCAGGTGGAGCCTCTATCAGGTTGAACCGACGAAAGATAGAATGAACCCGCAGCACTTAGACTTACACCGCGGCGAGAATGCAGCAAATACCTGTTGCAAACCCCTATAAATAAAATTATACATTCATGTTGATTAGAGAATATTTGCATCGAAGAATCTTTCAATTTAGGACAATATTCGAACCCTACAGTGCTGACTGCCGCCCAAGCGTATTTCCATCAATGTGTCTGTCGTAAAGGTTGCTCAATAAAAGTGAGCTCGCATGTGTGGAGACGTTGACTTGGCCTATGATAATGATTTCCATTACCTCTTACAAAATTCACAGGCCACTCAATATTATTATGTTCAACCAAGTCTTGTATTCACAAACACTAAGGCAGCTACTGCCAGCCACCAAGTTCAAATATGTACAAAGAAGTTGCGCCCGATATGCAGCTACTACTAATGCCCACTCCCCCGAGGACAAAGAAGCCGTCACCCAAAGCCATCATCCACCTTCCGACCGAGGCCGAAATGCCGCTCTACGAGCACTGAGAGTAGTACGGAGGCGAGACCGCGACGCAGGTCGAGCCGGACTGCACGATGAAAAGTCAGCAAACATTCAACCAGAGGATTTCATACAACTTCAAGAAGACTGAAAACTCACACCGCAAGTAGTGCATCCCGTATACCCATTTCCGCCACACTGCCCATACTTGGCGACAGAGCACGAGCCGCCACCGGACGGAGGAGCCGATGCGCTCGGCAGAGGAACCGACGACGCAGAAGCCGACGGGCCGGAGCCAACCTTGCAGGTCGACTCGCAGCCCGAGCAGGCGCTGCCAGCGACCTTGGTCGAGCCTCCAGCGTAGACAGCCGGTCCAGGGGCGACGTACGTCGACATGGCGGCGTGAATATTAACCTGGATGCCGGCGTCGCTCGCCTTGTACGCGCCGGGGAAGGTGACGGTGGCCGGGGTAGCGCTGCCGGTGCCGCTGACGGTGAGCTGGTAGCAGGTCATGTAGATCTGGGCGCCACCGGCGGAGCCGGCGGTGTGCAGGGCGATGACCTCGGCGCGCAGAAGGTAGTCGCCGGGTGCCAGGTCGGCAGGGATCTTGACGTTCATCTTGCCGCAGCACGTGTTGAGGTCCTTGACGCCCCAGAAGTCGTCGTCGCCCGAGGCGCCCGAGGGGTTCTTAGCCCAGGTGTCCTGGAAGATCTTGAACCAGCCGGAGGAGCCGTCTGCGGTGGAAGCGTCCGAGACCTTGGACATGTAGACTAGGACGGGGCCGTAGTGGGCGCCGCCGATGGCCTCGCTTGCGCAGGAGCGGTCACCGGGTTGCTGCAGGTGAAGTTGGTTAGTATGGTAGGGCTCGGTTGGTGATCCGGGGGGGCGACAAACCTGGTGCATCTCAACAGCAACAGTTGAACCCGCCTTGACGGCACACTTTTTGGCCACGGGGCTGGTGTTGGCATTGCAACGCATGTCGTTGGAAGCCACGCTGGTGACGGGCGAGTTGGATGGCGGCAGTCTGGCGCACTGGGACCCGTAGTCTGCTCCATCAGCCCAGAGGGCCTGGAAGAGTGCGTGGCCAGCGACGTTCTGCGCACACAGGGCCGCAATGGCGGCGACTCCGAAAGACTTCATGATGGCGGAAGGTGAGCTTACTGTTCTTGTCCTGGAAACTCTGGTGGAAAGCACGTCGAAGAGTCACAATCCAGAAATTCACTTCATATTCATGGGTAGACGTCGGATTTATACGTTCTGTGATCTTCTCTTTCCGCCTCGTTGCTACCGTCCCATCCTGAGAACAAGAAAACCATGTTCGAGCGCCCCGCTAGGCTCCAAAAGCCGACGGAGAAGCTTTTCGAGAATGGCCAACTACCTATTCCGGGCACGATCGACCCCCGTCCTTCTCCTCAAATTTCGATTCCGTTCCCGCCTGTTCCAGCAAGGCGAGCGAGGGAGTCGCAGTCCAGCAGGGCCCCGTGGGCAGAAGGCGGCGTCGTGTTAGCTTTTCTCCACACGAAATACAACTCCATGTTCCAAGACGACGTCCGGGGTTGCTAACCCGGTTCGGTCGGCGGGCGTAGCGCAATTGGTGGACTTGGTGGAGGGCTTGGGGGTTGGAGGGCGGTTAATATGCATTGGTTGATCAATTCGGTTCGACGGAAGAGAACTGCCGCGGCGCCATGGATCCCAAAAACCAGGAAACGGTGGCTTGCTTCCCGTCTCAATTTGGGCGTAGCACCGTTGTCAGTGTTTCCAATCTTGCCAGGTTGATCTTACCAGGTTGTGGTGGACTGGTGGCCAGATGGCCGTGTGCCAAGGCGAAGTATCGCCAAGACCTGGCTTGCTGCTGCAAACTTTGTCTGTTCTCGGTTACTTTGGCTCGGGCATCCGAGGCATCATGACGACGAGCTTCCGCTCGCATTATCATAGACTTTCGAGAACCGGTAACGGGTGAAATTTTGTTTCGAGCTCCTTGCTGAAAGCCCTGTTTTGAATGCATGAGGCTCGGCTGGTGATTGAGAAAAGAGACGCCTCGGTGTTGTAGACAGGGCGCTTCCCTCTTTGCTCTGGACCCACCCAGGTATCATATCGGACAATGTTGTGACCTGTGGTCTAGGAAGCACATGGGAACAAGAGGCGCATGGCACCTACCGTAGCGGCCCAACTTCCTCCACCATCTTGTAGGTCTGAAAACCTCAGATTGAACAAAGCGGAAGCCGTTACACCAGCGACAGTGCAAGCATGGTAATAAGACAGGTGTACCCTGATCCCGCCGCCACTCCTACGCCATCTGCCTCAAGCAAGCCTCTTTTTTTCAAAACCTGGTCGTTTGTAAGGTTTTGAGTTGCCGAGCCACCCTTCTCGTCTACGGGCCGAATCTCAGTCGTCGATGCAGCTCCGGGAGCAGATGCCGAAACATGGGGATCTGGTGCAACCCCGGTCCGCAAGTTCTTCCTCCTAGCGGCTATCCTGCACGATCATGGTATTCTTCCACGAAAATGTCAGATGACGCACGTCGTTGTTCTTGGCCTGGCTGAAGACAAGGTCAAGAATCGTCCTCTCATGGCCCACACACGGCCGCGACAGTCCTGCATTGCGACCAGTCGTCCATCCTCCTCGTTGCTCTGCCCCATCGTGAGTTGAAACATGTTGTATTAGACATTAATAAGATCTTACCTGACAACTAACCCCATCGAAGAATACCCACTAGCTCCCGCTTCTTGCTGCCTAACCTGGTCTGCCTCTCAGGGGATCATCGTCTACCGCGCTACCCAATACCCCCCATTCCCATGGATCTTGTCCCGATGCTCACCATCCCCGGCGCGAATACCAGCCAGATGCACTGGGACCCTCTCCACCTGCTTCTGGACCTTGCTGCGGGTGTCCGCATACTTCTCCGACAGGCTGCGCGAGCTCTTGATTGACTTGAGCCGATCGACAGTCATGTCGGGGCCCCAGTTTTCGCGGCTTAGACTCGCTCCGGTCAGCTGGACATCCCAAGAAATAGCCCGCAGTCTGTCCTGCAGAGGTGCTGTGGGCTGTTGCATGGGTCGCAGGTACCCCATCACGATGACTTTCATCTTGGCGTTGAAGAAATTGGCCCCGGCGAAGTTGTGAATCAAGTGCACCGTCATCATCGTCTCCGCCACCACCGAGGGTCTCGGATATGGGGATGGCCCGGCCGAAATCAAAGCCTCGTGCCACTCCTGGGAGGTTGTATCGAGTCCCTTTCCTGGAAGAATGCGCGCCCAGCCAAAGTAGACCCCCCTCAGGCTATACTTGACTTCCTCGGGGATATCAGCCAGGTTGGCGGTGGGCACCCCCAATTCGCCTCTGCTACGCCCCGTGCCCGGTACAACTCGTCCCTGGAACTTGACGGGAAATGGCCTCTCCGGACCTTCGTCAGATCCCACCACCTCAGGTCCTTGGCCATACAGAACCCCCTCTGTCTGCGGGGTGATGTATCCCGGGTCGCGCTCCGAATACTGTTCGCCTCCCGCACCGACCTTGCTCTTCGATCCAGAGCCACCAAACAGAAACTGACCTGCGTCCTTGGCAAGCAGAACAGGCTGCAGCTTGCTCGCCCCGGCTTGGGCGACCGCCGTGACGGGCGCCAGGTACCGATTGACCGTGTTGCTCGCCATGACGGATGCGACCTTGACGCCCATTTCGATCGGCATGGTGCTCAGCGACGCGCCGCGCATGACGCTAGAATCGGTCGAGGTGCTTGCGATCCGAAAAATGGGGCTCGGGCAAAGGACCTTACGCCTTGAGCTGCCGCCATCAATGTCGGCAGCGCTCCCCCCCGTGCACAGCACAAGGCGAAAATAGCCATCAGCCGACGCCTCCGGGATGCGAACGACGTGCGTCTCGCGCGGGACGTGAGCCTTTGCATCGCCCTTCTCCTTGACGGACCGCTTAGCAGCCTTGCCGATGTCGCGCTGCCAGCTACGCTCAGAGTTGGGGGCTAGCCCCTGGGCTTCGACCCGTGCAGACGGGGTCACGTCCAGCCAGGTGGACGTGGCGCCGACGAGGGCCTTGATCTTCATGCCGCTGTCGCCCGAGAAGCCGCGCTGCTGGAGCCAGATGGTCCGGTCAGCTGGCAGGGGGTGCTTTGGCGCGCTAAAGATGGTGATGGCGACCGAGGTGGTCGGACCGCGGTAAAAGACCAGGGCGGGCGAGTGCCGCAGGATGGTGAAGTGCTTTGTTGACTCGGTCGGGTGGGGGATGAGCCCGCCGGCAAAGTGACGCGTCTCGGATAGGGCGGATTGCCAGAATCCGCCGGACTTGTTGGCGTCGATGTCGGACAGGTTGTCGTTGGGGGCGGTGGAAGCATGCGGGACGGGGGAGGGAGGCGCGCCGCCGGGGCTGATGTGGCTCGGCGACTGGGAGGAGTCGAACCGTGCTGCGGCAGACAGGTTGGGGAGGCTGGTCATCATCCTGAG